AAAAAAAAAAAAAAAAAAAGATACTGGAGATTGAACTCAGGGCCTGTTGCATACTAGACAATTGCTCTACCACTGAACTATCTCCCTAGCACCTTCCCTATTTTCTTTTCTTGTGGTATTAAGGATTGTACCCAGAGGTGTTCTATCACTGACCTACATCCCCAGCCCTTTTTTATTTTATTTTTTGAGATAGTGTCTGGTTGGCCTTGAGCTTATGATCCTCTTGCCTCAGTCTCCTGAGTAGCTGGGATTAGGGTCAGTCTTTTGCTTTATTTAGGTCTTCGACTTATTGCCTGAGACCCAACCACATTAGGGAGTACAATCTGCTTTACTCCAGTCATCCAATTTAGTTCAGACATTTAATTTATTTGTTAATTTCATAAACAACCTCTCAGAGAATCATCCAGAATGATGGCTAATATATGTGTACCCTGTAGTATAGTCAAATTGATACATAAAATTGACATATATCCATTGGGGATGTAACTCAGTGGTAAAGTGCTTACCTAACAAGTTCAATCCTTGGCAACACACACACACACACACACACACACACACAAAAGGGACTAACAGTAGCAGAATCTTGTGTCATCCCTGTGTCTACTTTATGGATAATATCCATAATCCATAAAGAGTGGAGTGTGTAGACCTTTGTCCCTTCACAGAATATCTGGAACTTGAGCAGCTATTTCTGACTGAAAGGTGGAAGTCACATGCTGAATATGCAAAAACAAGAAGTTGCTGGGCTGCTAACTTTGTGAAACCACATTACTGGCCTTGAATTTCCTATTTCTGATTTTGTGCCCAGCTCCAGTTACATTTTGACAACTCAGTTGAACATTCATAAGCAAAACAAAGACTCCACCTAAACATTTACACATTATACAAAAAGTACTCAAGATGGATCACAGATTTAAATGTAAAAGTATTAAGGTTTTTTTTTTTTTTTGTATGTTTGTTCTGGTGGTACCAGGAGCTCTTTACCACTGAGCTTACAACTCAGTCCTTTCTATTTTTAAGACATTGTCTAAGTTGCCAAGACTGGTTTCAGAATTGCAAGATCTTTTGCTTGGGTTTTCAAGTAGCTTGGATTACAGGCCTGGGCCACCCAACACTTTTGGCAAAAAGTTTTTAGGTAAAAAATTGGAGAAAATTTTGGGGATGGAGTGCCAAGCAAAATGTTGAGGGCTAGGGATGTAGGTCAGTGGTAAAGCACTTGCCTAGTATGTGGAAGTCCTGGGTTCAATCCTCAAGAGGATGGGGGGGGCTTTGATTCGACATCAAAATCCTAATCCATAAAAAGGAAAAATTGTTGAATTGTACTTTATTATCAAAATTATATGTTGGCCAGGCACCTGTWATCCCAGTGGCTCTAGAAGCTAAAGCAGGAGGATAGCAAATTCAAAGCCAGCCTCAGCAAAAGCAAGGCACTAGGCAACTCATGGTATTGGGGCTGGACATGGTGGTTCAGTGGTCAAGTGCCCTTGAGTTCAACTGCAGTATCCCCCTCCCCCCAAAAAAAATAAAAATGTTTATTCTGTGAAAGAGACTGTTAAAATATTTGCAAACTACATAACTGGCTGGTATCAAATATATAAAGAATGAACAAAACAGTAAAAAAAGACCACTTCAACTAAAAATGGCAAAAAGAGACATTTTTTATTGAGAATCTACATATATCAAATAAGCCTATGAAAAGATGTTTGGTGTCATTAGAAATTAGGGAAATGGGGCTGGGATTGTAGCTCAGTGGTAGAGGGCTTGCCTAGTTTGTGTGAGGCCCTGGGTTTGATCCTCAGCACCAACTAAAGATAAATAAATAAAGGTATTGTAGCCATATAAACTAACTAACTAACTAACTAACTAACTAAAAAATATATAAATAAATAAATTAGGGAAATGCAAATTAAATCACAATCACCATTAGATATCACTTTTCATATATCAGAATAGCTAAAGTAAGAAAGTAACACTAAATCCATGAGGATGCAGAGACACTGGATCGCACAAACATTGTTGACAGGAACGTAGAGTGGTACATTCTGAAATACAATTTGTCCAGTTTCTTAAAAACAAACAAAAAATGGGGCTGGGGTTGTGGCTCAGCGGTAGAACGCAGTGGCCGAAGACCGTAATGCCACAGACACTAGACGCTGGGGCAGGAAAATGGCAAATTTGAGGCTACTCTCAGCAATTTAGGAAGACACTGTCTCAAACAAGGACTGGGGATGTTGCTTAGTGGTAGAGCGCTGCTGGGTTCAATGCTCAAGTGCCACAAAACCAATAATAATAAAAAACCCCAAACMAAACAAAACAAAACAAAACACCCCAAAACCAAAACATTAAACTACCATGCAATCCAGCAATTGCACTACTGGGTACTATTACTATAATACCATTTCAAATATGAAGAAACTGAAGTTTTGAGAAATTGGGTGATTAAAGACGCTTCCATTCTAGGAGAAGGCAGCTTCTTTCAAGACATTCACACGTGAGATGGTCACATCCCACAGCTCCAGCCCATCACATAGAGCCCAGGCTGAACACTCCATGCTAGATGAGCCAACAAGACTTCAAACCCAGGCCTCCTTTCAGGTCCGGCACTTGGAGGTTGCTATCAGTTCCTGAACCCGACCCAAACTCGCCTTTCCTAAACCTTAGGCGTCTACCCTAGGTGGTAATTCCTCCGCGGCCCAGTACATCGCAAATCGTCCTTTAAGTTGTAGCATTGCCAGTTCAATGGTAGAACAAAACGCCAGGGGCCAAAGTCGAAGGTCAGCCAGTAGGCTGAGCCGGGGGCGTTCGCTTCGCCTAGCCCCACCTCCCAGGTGGTCGGTTGAGCCTCCAGTGCAGCTGAGCTTCTAACACATCCTAGCCCCGCCCCTTCCTTGGGGGGAGACTGCCGAACACATCGAACGCAGCCAATGAGTGAAGGAGCGGCTGCATGGCGGGAGGTTCGATTGACCCAGCCTGGCGGCTGTTAACGCGCGCTTGGGGAAGAGGAAGGTTAATGGGGAACTGAGTGTCCCGGAATCCATCTCTGCCTCTCTTTTCAGCCCCTTCTGGGATTCCGTTCCCAGTTTGGGTTTTTATTGGTCCTTCTTGGATCCTTGCTCAACCTCCCTCGATCCAGTACGCTATCCGCACTCCAGCCCCGGGAAACCCCCCTCCTCCGGATGCAGGCTCCTCGCCCTTCCTAGGCCTCGGACTTTAACCCCAGCTTCTTTCTTCTGGACCTTGGTTACCGCCCCCACCTCGCATGGATCTCCTCTTTTAACCGAGACCATTATCCTGACTCCACTCTGCCCATTCTGGGACCCCCCTGTATCCTCCCCATCCTAGATTTATACCCGACTCTGCCTTGACACTTCCTCTTTGGTCTACTCTCTGGACTCGGCTAACTGACGATCAACATTCTCGCATTTTGGACTCAAACTCCTACTCCTGGCTGGGTCCCCTCCATCCATGCCCCCTTTTTAATTAGTCCATATTCTGAATAATATAGCAGTTCCACCTACATCAAGCCTTCGTCCTGCATTCTCTGCTGCTGAGTGCCTTTCACCTTTGGCTGATGGATACTTGACGTTTGGGCCCCAGGATGGTAAGTGTGAACCTAGGGGAGACAGGAATTCTGTCTAGGTTTAATGGGCTCAGGTTGAGGATCCATTTCCATTCTCCCCTTACAGAGGAGGAGCTTAGCTCCCAGTCAGCTGGCCAGAAGGAAACTGGAAGGCAGATCTGATGATGATGAAGACTGGCAGCCTGAGGCAGTGGTGAGTGCCCAAGGAGATAGGGAAGGTGGGAATTCAGGTTGTTTGTGCAGAAAGGAAGCCTGGACTTGGTTTCTGGGTTTACATAGTCACCTCCCAAAGTTCAGTAGTGTAATTGATGCTCCCTCTGTGCCAGGCATTAAACAGATTAATAAAATTTTGTAGCTTCACTAGAAGCTAATATAACCTTAGTTTTCCTTTTGGGAGGGGTACACCAAAGCCAAGAAACAGCTCAGATTGATCCTTTGACTCTTATGGGGGAGAGGGAGGGGATAAAGGCCTTTACAATAGTAACTAGCAGCCTCCTATTTGTCCCTTGCCCYATGTCACAGAATAGTAGAATATTCTGGACCTACCTTAAAATCCTGAGCTTAATTTGGCCTTTCAGTCTTGCTCATACTCAAGTGCAATATGTTCTACTTTGGACTGATGTCTGTGCTTTGCTTCATGCCTTGGAGGCTTGCTGGTTGTGGACAAGACCTWTATAAAAGTAAACAGAGTCATGCAATATCTACTTTAAAGGGAAAGAGAGCAATTTCAGAATCAAGGGTTTGGCTAATGGAGCTTTGGAGGAAAGGATCAGCTAAGGAAGGAAGGCACTTTTTTCTAGGACAGTTTGTAAGTAAAGGCATGTAAAGGGTGGAATGAGGCCTGGTGTTTGCTTCAGATGTGTCTTAAGAATCATTGAAGGGCTGGGGATGTGGCTCAAGTAGTAGTGCGCTCGCCTAGCATGCATGAGGCACTGGGTTCGTTTCTCAGCACCACGTAAAAATAAAAAAATAAAGATATTGTGTCCACCTAAAACTAAAAAAAAAAAAAAAAAAAAAAAAGAATCATTGGAGCTTCAAATAACTTGACAAGCTGGTACAAGAGGGTTCATTCCTGATTGCCTGTTGGAGCCTTCTCTTTAGTTGCATCGCTGGTGGGGATTTTTCCACCTGCTAAGGGAGGCACATTAACTGTCCCTTGTATGTCTTACACTTGAACTTGGGGCATCATTCTCTGCAGGTGGATCAGGGATGGAGCTGTGTGTTGCTCCTGAAATGCTTGGTGCTAGTGTCTTCACTGCTGTGTGGTGGACTGAGTTGGGGGTGATGTGAGAGTTGGGTACAGCTGTACTCTTGTCCACCCTTTGGGAAACTCAGAAAGGGAAACACTTGGTTGGGTCTGCTATGACTCCATACTGCTGGTGGGCTTGCTTTTCCCAGGCTTACTTCATTTACCTCTTCCATTGTTTTTCCTTCATTTGAGGCAAGTTACTTAATCTCATTAAGCTCGTTTTTCTAGAATTAAAAAAGGATATCCTACTAAAGAAGGATAATAAACAGGATTGCTGTGATAATACATGTGAAGACGTTAGCACTTCATCTGGCACTTAATATGTACTTCTTCTTTTTTTTTTTTTTTAAATAAGATGGAGTTATACTATGTTGCCTAGGCTGGTCTTAAACTCATGGGCTCAAATTGATCCTCCAGCCTTGGCCTCTCAAGTAGCTGGGACTACAKGTGTGTGCTACCACACCTGGCTCTAATAAATCACTTTAAGGGCTGGGGTTGTGGCTCAGTGGTAGAGCACTCGCCTAGCACGTGCGAGGCCCTGGGTTTGATCCTTAGCACACATAAAAATAAATAAATAAAGGTATTATGTGAATTTTCAACTAAAAAAAACAAATAAATATTTTAAAAAATCACTTTAAGTGTTAGTTTTAAAAAATCACTTTAAGTGTTAGTTTCCATTAGGGTGATCTCTGGTCTTTCAGACCTCAGCTTGCCATTTCTTTTCTTAGACACGGAAGAAACAGAAATCCAGTAATGAGACCCAGATCCAAGAGTGTTTCTTGTCCCCTTATCGGAAACCTTTAACTCAGCTAACAAATCGACCACCCTGTCTGGATAGCAGTCAACATGTAAGTCAAAACTGCAACCTACCTATGTATATGTATGTCCAGTCCTTTTGCCTTAGTAGATTCCTACAGTAGAGACTCTATCTTTGACATTGTAGCCAGCCTGTCTATAGCTGTTGTGGCCTGTTGAGACAAGGGTGCCTGAGTGAGAGTTTATTTTTGCTATGTTTACTATGTTTATTATTACTATGTGGGCACYAGATCTCAGGTGGTTCAGATTCCTAAAAAAATGAAAACAGAGGAGAGGGAAGGCTATGATGGGGTGTTAGACCCAGGATCCTTATGGTACCTTGGTCTCTAGCTCTATTTATGGCTTTGTGGACTACAAGAGTCCCATCCATACCTTTTTGTGTTTCCTCTAATAAAGTCAAATCACCATCATGGGTTCTGTGTGTTACCTCYCTGACTCCAAAGCTTCCTGAGAAATGTTTTAAAGGAAAAATAAGAACATGTAACAAAGGTTATTCATTTGTGCRTTTGGCAAGTAATTTTATATAATCAATAATTGTAAAAAATTGTGTAACATGTCATAAAATAAACACCTCCAAGCCTACTTCCTAGGACTAGAACTTGGCCAAATTTATATTGCCTTTCCACATCCCTAGTGGTACCACTACTCTGAACTGGGTTGACTAAATACTTTTTTTTGCAGGGGGTAATACTGGGGATTGAACATAGGAGTTCATGCATGCTAGGCAAGTGCTCTACCACTGTACTATATCCCTAGCCYATTTATTGWATTTTGAGGTAGGGTCTAGMTAATTTTCCCAGGCTGGCCTTGCTTGAACTTTCAATCCTTTTGCCTCAGTAAACTGAGTACTTAAGATTTCAAACATGTACTACCATGCCTGGCTAAATAATTTTTTCTTTTTTTTTTTTTTAACTAGGGATTGAACTCAGGGGAACTTTACCACTGAGCTACATTCCCAGCCCCAACCTGCCCCCCAGCCCCGCCCCGGCCTTTTTTAAAATTTGAAATGGGTTTTAGGACCTTGCTAATTTGATAAGACAAGCTTTGAACTTGTGATCTACCTGCCTCAGCCACCTGAGTTGCTGTGAAAATGCATTTAAAAAATTTTTTTAAATATTTATTTTTTAATTGTAGGTGGACACAATAACTTTATTTTATTTTTATGTGGTAYGGAGGATCAAACCCAGTGCCTCATGCATGGTAGGTGAGTGTTCTACCACTGAACCACAATCCCAGCCCTAAAAAAATTTWAAAAAAACATTTTTAATTGTAGATGGACACAATATCTTTATTTTTTTTATGTAGTTCTGGGAATTGAACCTAGCTAGGTAAGTGCTTTACCACTGAGCCATAAACCTAGCCCTTTAAATTTTTTTGATGTATATTTTTAGTTGTTGAAGGACCTTTATTTTATTCATTTATTTACATGGGATGCTGAGAATCTAAYCTAGTGCCTCACACATGGCTAGGCAAGTGCTCCACCACTGAGCCACAAACCCAGCCCTAAATAATGCATTTTTTTAAAAAGATATTAAGAACTTTATTTATTATTATTATTTTTTTTATTGGTGCTGAGGATTGAATCCAGTGCCTTACACATGCTAGGCAAGTGCTGTACATCTGAGCTACAATCACAGCCTCCTAAATAATGCATTTTTAATTGTTATTTTGAGCTTAAAAAAAATAGTTTTAGCAGACCCGGTGGCATGTGCCTGGAATCCCAGCAACTTGGGAGTCTGAGGTAGCCTGGGCACTTTAGTGAGCTCTGTCTATAAAAAATAAAAGGGGTGAGGGATGTAGCTGTAGCTCCAGTGGTAGTGCCCCTGGGTTCAGTATCTCAAAACACACACATAAAGGTGTTAAAGTGGTCTGTAGCCCTGTGGGATTGTTTTCATTTAGAATTTGTTCAGGTTGTCCCATGGAATTATGTGATATAACTTGTGATATAACTTGCCTGAGGCCCTGGGTTCAATCCCCTAACAGTCTAAAGACTGGGAAGACAAGAATCTGCAGAACAGTCTGATTAAGAGTTGAAGGGAGGGGCTGGGATTGTAGCTCAGTAGTAGAGTGCTTGTCTAGCATGTGTGAGGTACTGAGTTCAATCCTCAGCACCACATAGAAATAAATAAAGGTATTTTGTTCATCCATAACTTAAAAAAAAAAAAAAGAGTTGAAAGGAATGGATGGTTAGCTAGGTAAAAGGGATAAGAATCCTKTAGAAAGAGCAACAGCCTATGAAAGGCTGGCAGCTAGAGAGTAAGGGAGGCCCTGAAAAGGATTTAGCAGGGTTGGATCAGTTGTCAGTGTGGGAATTTGGGAAATGGTGCTGAGAGATAAGATTTGAAAAACTGTGYARAAACCGARTGGAAGGCCTTTTGTAAGCATGGCTTTTTAAACTATTGAAACAGTTTAAAATAGTTTATTTTTGTTTGTTTTTTAAAATTTTTTGGTACTGGGAATTGATTCCAGGGTGCTTTACTACTAAGCTATATATATCTATATCTATCTATCTATCTATCTATCTATCTATATATATATATCTTTTTTAATTTTTGTATTGAGATAGGATCTTGCTAAAGTTGCTGAGGCTGGCCTTAAATTTTTGGTCTCCTTTTTCAGACTCTCAACTTACTTAGATTATGGTTGTGCACCACCCAAAATAGTTTGAGATATTTTTAATAGCAAACTTATAGGAATTTGACAGAAGACAGACAACATTAAAACCATACAGTTGCTGGGTGCAGTGGTACATGTCTGAAATTCCTGTAACTTGGTAGGCCATGTCCGGAGAATCACTAGAGCCCACAAGTTTGAGGCCAGCCTGGGCAACAAAGCAAGACACCATCTCAAAAAAATAAACATTAACAAAACAAACAAAAACAACAACAAAAAACCCAGAACACAAAATGATGGCCTTGTCCAGAAAAATTTAACTGATTTGTTTATTGTTGTTATAAAGTTGAACTCCTGAAACTCGTTTGCTGAAATATTTTGACATGCATTAATGCTTTATATTCCTGAATTTGTATTAAAAATTCACCCACCAATAAACATGGAAAAACTGCCAATACCTCACTCCTATACCCTACTTTTCCTTTTATAATTGCATATTTAGGTACCTTTTGACTCCTGGGGGAAAATATCTAGCATTTAGAACTATTAATAACAGAAAGATTTGATTTATTATTTTATATGTTTGAGAAATGTTTYCCATGGTAGTGGATTCTTTGGCATGTTCTTAACTTATGTGGCCACTGATGTGTTTTGACATCATTGTTACACATTTTCTGGGGATAGTGCAGAGATTGGTGTTTTTTTTTGGGGGGGTGGGTGGGTACCAGAGATTGAACTCAGGGGCACTTAACCTCTGACCCACATCCCCAACTGTATTTAGTATTTTATTTAGAGAAAGGGTCTCACTGAGTTGCTTAGTGCCTCACTTTTGATGAGGCTGGCTTTGAACTTGCGATCCTCTTGCCTCAGACTCCTGAGTTACTGGGATTACAGGCTTGTGCCACCACACCTGGGTCCAGGTTGGTGTTTTCAACAAGGTCATCTACATAGGCCTTACTTGCCTTCTGCAAAGCACCAGTAGCTGTACTCTGAGGTGCAGTTCTGTTTGGAAATTCTCACACCTGATCACATACTGGAAGGAAAACTTGCTGGACTTTTGATGACATTTAATTTCAAGTGCCACAATACTAGACCTACCATGGTGAAGTTTCTTCACCCCTCCAATATAGGTTGTACTCTTTTGTGTGTTTGGTACTGGAGATTGAACCTGGAGTTGTTTACCCATTGAGATACGTCCTCAGCCCTTTTTATTTTTCATTTTGAGACAGGGTTTTGCTAAATTGCTTAGGATTTTGCTACATTGCTGAGATTGACTTTGAACTTGCAATCCTCCTGACTCAACTCCTGAGYTCCTGGGATTACAGGCATGTGCTACCATGCCCAGCTAGGGTGCACTCTTATAAGTTGTTTTTGTAGTCATTTGCTTCTTGGCTGCTTTCCTACTAATTTATTTGCAGACAGTCTTTTTTTTTTTTTTTTTTTTTTGCACCAGGGATTGAACTCAGGGGTGCTTAACCACTGGATTTTATTTAGAGACAGGGTCTTGTTGAGTTGCTTAGGACCTCTCTGAATTGCTGAAGCTGGCTTTGAACTCATGATCCTCCTCCCTCAGCCTCCCCAGCTGCTGGAATTATAGGCATGCACCACCAACCTAGGCRACTATCTGCTTTGTACTAGCCATGATTTAGAGACCCTCCCTACTTATCTTCCTTAACCAGTAGCATCCTTTAATTCCTTTTAAAATCAGAAGGTGAAAGAGTATAGTAATGAATCTAGCCTGGATTGTATTTGTCTTTATACCAATGCAGTCATAGAATGAAAATGTAATATGTGAGATACATATATGTATGTGTGTGTGTGCGCGCGCGCGTATATGTATTTAAGTATATATATATATATATATTATATAAATCAATGTTATTTTTTATTAAACACTAACACCAGATGTTATTAATTAATATTAARCATATATAAATAATATATATATTTTTAATGGTGGAAGAGGCTTTAGAGACAAAGTTCCTAGGGCCCACAAAAGTCATGATGAGCTTGGATAAGAAGTCTTTAACCTTAGATGTGATGAGTTTGAAAGGCCTGTAGGATATCTAAGATTGGAAGCTGTTGTAAATGTGGATGTGGAGCTAGGAATGAGGTAGGGACTAGAAATAGATTTGAAGGTCAGTAGCATAAAGAAATTTGATACCTTGGAAGCACATTGGAGTGTCATTTGGAGGAGTTGAGGCCTTAAATCCTAAGCCAACTTTTAAGGGGGTTAGGTAGAGGAAGAAGCACCCATTAAGAAACTAAGTATGAAGTTCCTTACAGAAAGATGGAAGAGTGGTAAAATTGGTGTCATGAAAATCAAGGGTGAAGTATATTTAAGAAGGAATGACCAGCTCTATCAAGTAAGATAAGAAGAAATCATGTTCATTGGAATTGGGGTCATGTATGCCATTGG